AATCGATTGCGAAAAATAATCTATTCCAATTGATTCGATTTTTAATGGATTATCTCAATTTTCTGTCAAAAAATCGATTTTAATGGATTTTGCCAGAGAAAAATCGATTTTAATCCATTACGAAAAATAATGGATTCGAATCGATTCAATTTTTAATCGATTATCCCAATTTTCTTTTAAAAAATCGACTTCAATGGATTACGAAAAATAATCGATTAGAATCAATTCGATTTTTAATCACTTATCGCGATTTTCTGCCTGAAGATCGATTTTAATGAATTTTTCCAGCAAAAAATCGATTTTAATCGATTATTATTTAGAATTTAATCAAAAATTGGTACTTTTAATCGATTTTTTATGAGTTTTTTGAAAAATCGATTTTAATCAGATTTTTCGCGTTTTTTTTACATGGGTTGTATAGACATTTAAGCTGCCAGGACTCATCAATTATCTCGATCATTGTATTCACTTTAAACTTTCACAAGTGAAGAAAATAAATGATGAATAAAGAATAATGAAGTGAAAATATCTTTGCGTTAGGAGATTTTTTTTTATACGAAAAAGGAAATGTTTTATTTGAATATTGAAAAAAGAAACTATAGTATATGGAATGACATAGACAAAAAAAATGTTGTGTAAGCTTAGATAACTACAAGTTTATTGACGTAAAAATATCCATCAGAGAAGAGCAGTTTAAAAAAAACTCTGCAGCCAATGAGAACACAAGTTTAATCTATGATAACAGAAATATTGTATATCATTGTCTTTTCATTTTTGTATAATCATCACATGTTGACAATGCAATTAAACTACATTAGTGAAACGATAAATTGAATTTAAATACAAAAAAAATTATCAAACACTTCAACATATATAAAGAAACTATATTTCAGAAGAAAACAAGTAAATAAAAACAAACAAGCAGTAATATTGATTTATAAATACACAAATAAAACATTTTTCCATTTGCAAAAAAACAGTAGGATACAATGGCGAAAAGAGTATTCTTATATTTTCTATTATTTAATTTATGGAATCTTAATGTTGAATGTGTTCAACCTTATTTTCCTCCACAAGTAACATTTACAAGAGAAGAAGGTGTTACTACTGATCTTTTTGCAATTGATGAAATCAATCAGCGAGCTTATTACTGGCATTATATAGATTCAGGTGATCAATTATATGCATATGTTATGCAACATTTTCCTTATGCAATACCTGATTCTCCAGAATCGAAATATTATGTTCAACTTGATGTGTATGAACCAATCTATTGTGAATATACAGCAATATGGAAACATGGTAGTGGCATGCATGATTCATTTCCTGAACATTGGTATTATGGTGGAACTTCTTATAACATTACTAATTATATACAATTTGGTTCAAATATGATACATTCAAATGATAGTTCTAATAATGAAGATCATTGGTATTCGGAAAATACATGTTCTCTTGATTCAGAAGAGATTTATCCATGCGAAGAAATATTCTTTAAGAAAGATACAGATATACCTCTTAGATATGTTTTTGTTGATGGTCACGGATTTTTTAGTTCGAGAGTGACAATAAATTATAAAATAATATCCATAGGAAAGCCAAGTGATAAATTATTTGCAAAAATTCCAAAGAATTGGATGGACAATTGTACAGATCGTAATCTTGCACTAGATTTTACATATCCGAGTGCAGAAGTTAAACTACATGAAAATGTAACAGTTACAATTCGTCTTACTTCACCACCACATCGAATTGATGGAAATAATACAATGATTCTTCAATGGAAAGTAGATAAAACAATGTCAATATGTCAAGACTGTCTAACATGGGAACCTAAGCAATTGTATTTTACTATTGATAATTTTCATCAGTATCAAAAAATGGTCGTTACTCGAATAAAAGATGGTTCGGAGACAGTTCTCAACCCTATTATGAAAGGTGGTGGATATGATAAAGTTCCAATATATTCTTATCGTCTTCTTTTTCGATAAATGTTCTTTTTTTTTCAAATTTCATACAATATTAATAACGAATAATTCTTGATAAAATCAAACCATTCAATACGAGACGTAATCGACTTCATTAAATGAATGGATAACTATCTCTGCTACTTTCGGGAAAATTTGACAGTCGATGAGAGTGGGAATCTATCGTTGATGACATTCAGGTACTGTCGATATCTTTGAAGAATATAATTTCAAGCAATGCAACACAAGAGAGAAATAGAAAGCATATCTCATTCGAAAGTAGATTTAATTGAGTCCAGAGGAAAAAGTATTGCTTTATGATTAAAGACATAAAAGAAAACAGTAGAGACTGTGTTTTATTTTTCCAACTGATCTGTTGAATGTAAATGGCTATAAACAAAGATCAATCGACTAAAATACCAAGTTTAATAGAACCTGTTCAACACTCAATGAAACCCAATTAGAAGTTATATGTCTAATTTAAGTAAAAACGAAATAAAATCGAAAAATGAAATTAATATCTATTCATTATATACATATTCAATGATTTTAATAATAACATTATTTTAACAGAGCTTTCGGACTTTAAGGGTGTGGGTGTGGGTGTGGGTCTGGTTGTGAGTGGGTTAAGAGCTGATCCACACCCACACTCACGCACCAACATCCACACCCACCCCGGCACCGACACACCCACACCCACACACCCACATCCACCCCACACACCCATCCACCCCACACACCCACACCCACACCCACCCACACCCACACCCACCCACACCCACACCCCCACAATATTGTGTTGGAAGAATACAAAAAATATAGTGAAAATAAAATAGATTCATTTAAAAAAGATTGTTTTAATTTAAAGTATTAAAGTAGGAGTGTCTGTTTACGCGCAAGAAAGAAAACTCTAATAAAACAATAAATTGATTTCAAATTCAATCGAGCAAAAATCTTTCGAAGGTACGAATAGATGTTGTTTTCTTACAAATTTCATTGATTCATATAAAGGAATCCCTATTATCTTAACTCTTAATATGAACGAGGAAGTTGTATTGAAAATATCATTGACTATAAAAGTTAAAGATCGAACTATTATTTAGCCTCAAAAACTAAATTTTCGAATAGTTAAGTCTGTATTTAAATTAAAAAAGTTATTCCAATGTAAAGTGTTCATTAT